TTTTTTTTTTTTTTTTTTTTTTTGTTCTGGTGTATGTTTTGCACGAGGCTAGACAGGACTAAGGAAGGTCAGCGAATTGCTAAAGTGTGGTGCTTGTGCTGTTGAACCTGAGGGGCTTGTCTAATGGGGATTGAAACTTCTAGCTGCTTCCGAGCTATAGCTGACACCCCGGAACTCACAGGAGGTACTGGTCCCTGCAGAGCTCCGTCCCAAGTTCCCTTCCCAAAGTAGGCAGATACGCATTCTCCAATTTTTCCTTTCGAGAATGCGCAAACGGTCATAGCTCTACATCCGGATTGCAGTTCTGCACCAAACTCCCTCCATCCCTCCTTGCCTTCCCCCATGTTCCATTCATCCCTCCCTGGTCTCCCTCTATTGCCTCTGTCTTGCGAGGCGTTGGCAGGAGAGTCCGGTGTGCCTTTCATCCAGCTGCTTGGTGTGGTGATGGTTTACTCAGCTTTGTAGTTGAAGCCCGTGACGCAAGTTAAGCAAGCTCCTAACGGGCCTAGAATGTCATGAAAATACGTCTTGGATCTGAATATGGGTCGGATTGTTCCCTTTGAGATTCCGAAAGGTGATTGGACTGCAGGGATAACCACCATGTCTCGAGAACACGGAACCCCTAACCTACAGAACGCTGCGGGCAGCAGGTACAAGGATTCTCTGTGTGCTGCGGTCTGCTACAAGACACGCCAATGCTAGAGGCCGCAATGGCAGCATCTTCTTTTGAACCCGGCATGATATGATGATATGAATAACAATAACAATGCGAATAACAATAGCAATAGGAATTGAAATGATGATAATGTAGTATGTGGTAATGCGCTCACGCGAAGAATTCAGAGGCTCTAAAGCATGAAATGAGACCATGGAATTGGAACCTCAGGTCCTCTGCTTCCGAGTTCATTGAGCTCTTTGTCGGTGTGGGAGCCTCCCGCGTGCGCGACATCTTCAAGCAGGCTAAGGAGCCCCTTGGCATCAATTACCCTTTTGACAGCCAAAGTGGCAGCCCATGTGCCATCCGTTCATAATGACTGTGGCCCTCATCCAGCTTTTTCGAATACAAGTTTTGGAGGAGTTCTCTGCGGTCACATGACACTCTACAGGGATCATTAGACTCGAATTGGTACAGGCCGCTCGCCCTGGAATCTCACTTTCTTTCGTGGGTGCGGAAACCCTTGCAAGATTTTTGAGCGCACGGAGCTTCCTGCTTAAATGCCTTTGTACCAATTCCGGCGGATCTTAAGGGTATGCTTTCTTTTGGGTCGCAACCCCTGGGTGGTTGGGGTCTTGAGATGTAGGGCTTACGGTAGGGCATATAGGTATTTAGAAATGTGTCAGAGACGTGAAGTTGCAAGCTTCGGAGGTAAGGATTTTTTCATTGACGCGTTGGGAAACAAGTGGGTCTGCCTTGAGCAACAAATCTGTTTCAAGGTGCTTCTGTAAACAAACTAAACACCAGCATGCATGTTTTTTGCAACGGGGATATCTACATATTTGTGTGTTCATGTGCCGGTCAAGTGCAAGCCTTGCCTCGACGCAAATCTAGACATCTAACACGATGGGTGCTGTAGTCACTTAGCCGATACGCTTTGATTGTCAGGTGATTGCGACCTAGGAGGTGCACCACATAACAGCAAGTCTATGTAATTCGCGTCTCCAAGGAAGGCTCCCTGCATCGTCTTCATTGATGAGATCGAATCTGGCGCACAACAAGTTGTTTATTGCTCTTACAGGGCTTGGTCTTCAGGGCTTTGCTCTTCTAGCAAGAAGCACTAGTTCTTGCACTTCTGCAATGCATGCTGTCCCTGCTGGGTTCCTGTGAGCTTACTGGTGCTCATCTTACCTACACCCTAAACCATGAGTCTTAAATCCCGAAAGTCTTGTCAAAGTCGTTTCTGGGTCTAGGTACCTTGTGTATCAGCTCTTGCTCTCCTTGGTTGAGCTTGGGGGTAGTTCTCAAGTTTTTGCAGCAACCAAGTATTCTGCAAAAGCTCCCATGGCCTTGCGATTTGTTAGTAGGTCTTTTTTTTTGTTTGGGGGGCGGGGGGCTGGCTTCATGGGAGTCCAACAATAACCCCAAAGATCTGCTTCTTCATGCCCTGCATGCTAGCCAGAGGCAAGTAGCAAAAATGAGAAACCCTAAATCCCCAATCCCAACCTAAATCCTAAATGCTGAGCGAAGCCCTAAACGCTATAGCCTGAACCCTAAAACTTACACCCTGAGCGCCAGTTCCTGAAAGAGTCTCAGGATGCCATTGGTCGTCAGCGTGGCGCCGGAATGGGTGGCGGCAACGATGAGCGTGTAGCTCGAGCTGACATGGCAGTTTCCCCGAATTGCGGGACGATGTGGACCCCAAATACTACTGTCCTTGTTATTGGGAACCCCCAAAAAGATACCCGTAATTTTGAGAAGCCCCATTTGGCCATACTAGGAAACGATAGTGAAACCTTTTTTTGGGCCTTTAGCAAAAGGAAGCCTGCATTTGTATAGCCTCCAGTGAACAAGAAGGTAGACATGCAAGTGCTATGCCCAGCTCCATTATCCTCGCGGAGAGCCCCTGCATGAAACCCCACCATCCCAACGCAATCCTAGAGTAGGCTTGGGAGCTTTGGTTAGTTAGGCTTGGGAGTTCCTCAACCTCATCCCTACAGCATCGCTAAGGTGGACCTACAATCGCTTGATAATCCCTAGATACCCCCAGACCTCTCCCCGCCCCTCACGCTTCGCAAAGGAGCAGACGTTGAACCAGATTCTCACTGAGATGGACGGCTTTGAGGGTCACCCAACCGCACTACGGTCCTCTTAACCGACCTTACATGCATCACTAACCTTGTAATTAGAGGCAGTTAGAATTGGCATACCTCCGTTTTAACAGCAAATACGGTTCCTATGAATCTCCAAGATGGCCGCAGAACGCGGTGGTGTTTGATTGCACAGCATATTGCTTCGGCAAGCTATGAAAGTCAGTCTTGCTATTTATAAGACTGTATGTTGACTCAAATTGTGCTTACCTGATGTTCGGCTGTAAGGCGATGTTGAGATGGGCTTAAACCCCCCCCCCC